GTATATATTTGAACAAATATTCATAACAGTAAAGTTGTATTACAGTACGGACCCGAATATAAACAAGCTCAGCACCTCCAAACCACCAAAACCTTCTTTATTTTACTATAATCCAATGCAACACTGATTTATGACAAACTACAAACACGTTAAAATGACGTTCACTGAGAGAACTTTGTGAGTTTTGAAGAAAAAAGAAAAAGTATATAAAGCTTAATCTTGGACAAACAAATACCGGTATGCAACTTTGAGTCACACGGAGACACTCAAACAGGCTGCACACGTTCCTGCAGCGCCTCAACCTTTTTTGGCTCAACGCCTGCCACACAGTGAAGCATCGGGCCGTGGAGAACTCAGCTGGATTGACTTGGAGCAAAACAATAAATGTGTGATGGACGTCTGCCTTCTATCAGATTTAAAAAGACGACAAATTATCTCAGGTCAGCTATCCTAATCAGCGTTTCCTCTAGGTCACTTGTCTTGGCAGGGAGCTCATCTCAATGATTTATGTCGATGGGGTGGGTGGAGACAAAGACACGTCTGTGTTGCGCGCCGTTTGTGCCGACAGTTGTTGACCGGTGGGCGGGGGATAAGGAAACGGCTCAGCATGAGGCAAACGGGAGTGCTATCTCTGTAGCTTTTTAAGCTAGCACGTCTGTAATGCGCAGCTAGCTTAGTGCATGAGGTGGGGTGGTGGGCAGTTCGCTTCGGTAGGCAGGGTGCTCGGTTCTGTTGATGGGGCGGGGCGCCCTCCTTGTACAACGGTAGGGGAAACACTGCTAATAATAAGATTAATTTGTTGTTTTGTGCGTCTCTAAAATACATTTGGATTGCAACATTAGTCGCACTTGCTCCATGTTACCGAGTATGATGCCCCGCCCCACCACAAGGGGGCTCGCCACACAGTTTGAGGACTACTGCTTCAAGGAATGCAGATCATTCGCCACCAGAATTTTAAAAAAGCATTCTATTCTGAGAAAGGACAAAGCTGTTGCCATTTTGGACGAACCTTGTAAATGACATTTTGTATTTTGTGTGTAATTTGATAGCATGGATGGATAGCATGGATTATTGAGCATAGACTTTGGTGTTTTGAACCAGTGTGACATGATTGTCGACAAGGGAGCGGGCAGGCACCGGAGGCCATCTTAGCACTAACATAAACTGTTTTTTTTCCCCACTTTGGAGTAAGCTGTTGGGGGAGAATCAGTTTTGTTTGGCGTATCCTCAGACTGATGACGCCTTCTGGATGGAGGACGAAATGTCTCAACACACACACTCAAAACAAGAAACTGTCCAGATAACCTGACTGAACATTGTTGGATTTTATACCTGGATTATTGAGCATAGACTTTGGTGATTTGATAGCTATCAGAGTATATGTTGATGACTCCCTGGTGTTAACGCAACTATTTTTAGCCCAACATCAGTGAAACTGATTAAGCTGCAGCGATTTTTGCATCAGCTAAGGTTGCTTAGCTGTGGCAGCCATCTTGAATGAGGTTAACTACTAAAATTGTTCAGTTGTAAATTTACATCAAGGATTACTTTCTGAGTCATTAAAACCTGTCCATTGGTTCCCAGAGATATTTTGCTAACGCTAAGGACAAATGAACACACAGACAGGGACAAACAATGTCAAACGTCGAGAACAATAAAAAACAAAAGGAGGACGGGCGTGGTGAGCAGATGATTGACCTTAAGGAAGGGTCGAGTCTTCTGTGAAATCAAAAGTGAGGGGAATGTTTCCTGAGCGCTGATATGAAGCGACTCAACGGCCGTGACCGCATCCACTCTGGAAGTAACAGAATTCCTTCTGGATGACCATGAACAAAGGGGCGAGCCTCAGACTGTAACTAATTCTTTAACCTGTGGATTGGTTTTAGTGAGACGGACATCACAGCCAAGCACAGCTGACGACGAGTTCAAAGCTTTTGTTTAATAGACGTAAAGTGCAATTAATTCTCGGGTATTAAGTTGCTGTTGTTTATTATCTTTGGCAGCAAACTGACCACAAGCACTTGAAGGAGGCTGTTTACTGCAGTTATTCCTTTAAGTACAGCAAAGAGCTAAAGGAGCCGGCTTAAGTGCTCCAAGTTGTGTTGGCTTAACGTGAACGAGGGAAGAAATGGGCCTTAAAGAGGACGGCAGTCTGCTTAGAGAATCCAAGGAAGTAAAGATCTGAGGGGACGGTTTCAAAAACCTCACAAAGTGGAAATAACTGATAGATGTTGAGCTTTGGTTTTTCTTATAACAATTTTGGTGAAACTGCAAGACAAAGTCCATATGGGCCTTTTATTTTCACTAGATCTCACATCTTAACATAAAATACACATCGTTATGGGGTCACTAAAATTTATTATTCAAACTATATATTTATTATTACTATCAATTGATTTTGAGATCTTTAAACCACAGATTTAGAAAGTCTAAGCTTTTTAGACAGGGGTCATAAAATTTGCCAAAAGGCCTAAAATCTTTTTAGACAGGCAGTGCAGGGGGCAGCCTTGGATGAGCCATGTCTCTGGTATTTACAACTTTAGTTGTCATTAGATATTAGTGGGTACTGCTAGACTTGTTTATGAAATCATAAGTAATTTATAAAAACTATTATGACTGTAAATATGAACTGATTTTAAAACACTTCATCTGGTAAAATAAAGAAATAAAAGATTTCTGGACACCTGCTATGACTTTTTGTCCCTGAAAGTACAGTCAGGTTACTTAGAAAATTATAATAATTAAACTAATATAATAAACAATGACATTAAAAGTTTATAATGCACAACAATGACAAATAAAGCACTTTAGTGACAGTGTCCTTATCAATGAGCTAACATTAGCATGGTGAGCTAATTGCTCTAGCTAATGCAGTTAGCATCGTTAGCTTCAGGCTACTTATTTAAACTAACTTGCATCATTTCATAAGGTTTCATATATTACTTCATTGTTTTTCAACTGTGACTCACCAAATCGAAGTTCAGCTCCTTCAGATGAAGCTTGTGGAGGCAGAGTGTGATGTTTTTAACTCTTATTCTCTGTAAATCTTCCCAGGAGTCATGTTGAGTCACGTGACACGATCGAGCGCTCTGATTGGCCTAAAGTGCCGCCATTTTTAACCCTTTCTAGTGAACTATCAGGCCTACAAAGCTAAGCTAAAAAAAATTAAATCATGTAAAAAAGTTCTTATCCCACTGAATGCAGACTACCACCACTTATGAACAATATAATCAGAATTTGTATTTGTTAAAGCAGTGGTTTCCAACCCTGAGGAACACCATCCTGCATATTTTAGTTGTTTCTCTGCCGATAGAGTGATTTTATTCAAGTTCTGCAGAAGCCTGTTAATCACCAATTCATTCAAATCAGGTGTGTCAAAGCAGAGAAACAACAAACATGCAGGATGGTGTTCCACAAGGACCAGGGTTTGGAACCACAGCTTTATAGTAGCATAACGCCTTTATTCATTAATTAGTTGAATTTTATTTAAATATTTGAAACCAAAAATACACATTTCCTTTCTGGGATTGTGAAAGTAAACTTGTATTTCACTGATGGCACATCCCATGAGCATCTGTTGCTACTTTAAATAAAACATGGTGCAAGCTGGTACAAACCAACCAGTTTTAATACAAAGAAAATAACTCCGTTGTCTTATTTTAAATTATTCATGACCCTCACTTATGAAAACGTATAGTAATGTAATACTGCCTGCTAATATTGTGATATGCTGCTCCGCTGGGTACGATGAAGGTAATTAAAGCTAATTTACATTCACTGGATTGTTTTCTCTGGTGTGCAGCTGCTGCATACATCTCCTCTTTATTAAGATAAAACCAGATAATGTTAATATGGATTTTATAGCACCTATCTGCTGTAGAAAAGGGGCTAAAATGTTCTGTTGGACTAAAAACAAAAAGAATGTTTAATTCAACAATGGACATTTTCATGGGCTCGACTGGTTCAAGGCATCGGCGCATGACTTCCTGGGTTTTTGTCATCAGGATGACGAGCAGACAGCAGCTCTTTCCTTCCCTTGTTTACCCAGCTTTTATCTATTTTGGCAGTTTGAAAGACATTGTATCGCCGTTTCCAAAAGTAAAATATGAATAGAGTAGTGCCATAAAAAGAGATGAGACGTATAATTATTTGTCAGCTGCTGCGGGTCGGAGAGGCCACTTTTTTTTCTTCCTGCTCTGACGGGAGGGTCAAAGCAAAGCAGAGACTTTACAGCTCAGCATATGTCTGCTCCCTGCTGCTGAGGGTGCTAATTAAACATTAACTGATAGAAAAAGCCCTCCACACACACAATTATATCACGTCTAATTCCACCAATCACTGCCATCTTTACTTCTCGGAGCAAATTGGGCGTTAATCATTTTTCTAGTGGAGATTTTCCTTCACCCCCTAATTGTTGGAGATGATTCAGTCATTATCGGAACGCCGGCTACTCTTATCAGTCATCTGGCAGGGCAAATTTATCTGGAGACTGTGCTAGCAGAAATTAGACCAAATACCGTGATGAATTGTTTAAAGTAATGACTCACGGGGTTGTCGCTAAATCCCGCACGCAGAAATAAAACAAGACGCAAATGAACTGAACATGATTTCAAAATATTTATTTCAAAGAATTCGTAGAAAAAAAAAAATCACCTTTATTCAAAACATTTGATATGTTGCAAAGGAAAAGGTTTCATTCTTTAATCATTGCACAGAGAAGTGATATAACTTATATATGGTAGTACGTTTAGTGCCAGACCAAGATTTTTATGTTTTTATTAATATATATATTTAAAACTACAAAACCACACATCATAAATTCATCTTAAACACACAAAAATGGATTTGCCACTGCCGCATAATCAAAGGCTAAAAGAGAAAAGTACCAGGGTGAACAGGATGTAAAGGAAGTCCAAAAGACAAAACATCAAGGACTACAAGACACTAGAAGGGGGGTTACTTCCTGTTCCTGTTGGACAACTTCCTGTTTCTCTTGTGCAATTGTCGAACTGGTCAAGGTGATCCCGTTCCGTTTCCTTCAGTTTGATCCGTTAGTACAAAATGTGACGCAGGAATCGACTTCATTTTAAACATTTGGCACCAAGTTTAATCTAAACGTCTACATAAATCAGGGGTGTCCAATCCTGGTCCTCTAGAGGGATCCTCTCACATGTTTTACCCGTTTCTCTGCTTCAACACACCTGATTCAATGGTTGAATCACCTCTTCTTGTTCTTCGGACGCCTGTTAATCAACCACTGATTCAAATGAGATGTGTTGGAGCAGAGAAACCTCCAAACCATGCAGGATGGTGGCCCTCAAGGGCCAGGATTGGGCACTCCTGCCATAAATAATCCACCTCAGATTTACTTTTATTTTATTTCATTTCTACAATATAAACTTTGTCTCATTATAAACATTGGCAATACTGGAAAATGCACCATCTCCAATACGGTTATGTACATTTTAGTCTTTTTTTCTAAAAACGAACCTCTTTTTAAACATTTTCTCGTAACTTTTGGCGTCTGTTTGACTAACCTGAACCCCTGCGGGCCTCGACTTTACACAGCATCTATCATGACATTCTTCCGTCTCGGCTGTCTTTCGCCTCCATACTGGTAGCGATCGGGGCTAGGGTAGCGTTCCCTAGCATTCCTGTCAGGGCTGACGTAGCGGCCAGGGCTGGCCTGCCGGTAGTTTCTCCCCGCGGTAGTGTCGTAGTACTGCTGCCCTCTGCGACCAGCGGTAGGAGACGGGGGAACGTCCTGCCTTAGTGCCGCGCGGTGCTGTTGAGCTGATGGATAGTAGCGGGGGTTGTTGGGTGCCTGCTGGTTGGACAACTGAGGGAGCGGCAAACGGTTGGCGTTACTGGAAACTGGAGGGTCCTGGTAGTGGCTCGGGTAGGGGCCTTGTTCTCTGGGAACAGGTTTGGAGTGGGTGGGGTAATCATATGGATCCCTCCTGGAAGAAAAAAAAAAAAAAAAACAATTAGAGCTGTAGCAACTGTCAAAAACTTTTAATACCGTGTGACAAACACATGCCCCCACAAACAGATTTAGGCTTTAAAGTCCAGAGAGTGGCAAATCTTAATTTTGGTTTCAGCTGGTTTGGAGTAGAGGACAACCCTTCCTTAAGATAAAGCCTCCTTCTGTTATTCAGTTTACGTGGCGAGGCTTTGGTCTTGGCAGGATTGTGTTATTGGGGGGACGTGGATGGAGAGATGCCAAGAGATAACAGAAAATTCCTGGGTAAGCATATATGAGCTTGTGTGTGTGTGGAGGAATGTGTCTCTCTCTGGGCTGTGCAGTAACAAGGCAGCCAGCTGGAAGTCTCAAGTTCCCTCCCACTAGCTGTGGGTGATTAGGGGGCTAAACCCCGAGGTAAGGCGACACGGGGGCTTTGGAGAAACGGCTGAGAGGGAGAAAAGACAGAGGATGAGTAAAGAAAAGGGAAGGCTGCTCTCGCCTTTCATTCACACCCAAATGTTTTCCATCTTATGTGATGTTTCCAGAGTTGTGCGATAAACAAGTCTGAATCAAACTCGCTCCAACTATTTTGAAAGTACTGGTCAGCACCCAGACTCCACTATGGAGTCATGTTGTAGAAGGTGGTTTGATACTACAAGGACATTCTTGGTCTCCTGTCTGTGCTGGGTTCCATAACCTTGTCACAAGGTTGTAGCCTAGACATGAGGCCAGTCTTGGTTTAACACAGACCTCAAATTATGGGTAGACTCCCTCCAGTATCCCCAGTATGCTGCCAACTCTGTGACCAATCATGAAAACTATCATGAATCTACAACTCATTATCCTGCATAATGTGGAGAATACTGCACTCCAAATGCACGCCTAAAGACATCACCAAGACCCCACAAAGCCATCAAAGTTCTGTGTAGTGTTGTACTACTCGAGACCAGTCTTGGTCTTTTTGATGGTCTTGTCTCGGACTCGACCGCATTTGGTCTCGTTCTTGTCTCGATCTCGGACGTTGAGGACTCGGGATTTTATTTCAAGACCAGTCAATACCACAACTGTGGAAATATCATTAAATTGCCAGAATATTGTCCAGTTTATTTGTTAACATCCTTGTTTTTATTGGATGCAAACCATACGGATTCAAATCCAAGCAATAACGTGACTCATTGCTAAATACATGTTTTTGTTACCGCTGTCATGCCCACCCCCCTCCACTCGCACATGGTTCTACCAACAGAACAATACAGACAACAGAACGTAATGTCGCAACCAGGAGTGAAAGTAAGCTGGTATGGACAATCTGTGAAAAGACTGAGCTCCAAGACTTGGGGTCTTGGTCTTGACTTGGTCTCGGGTTAGGTGGTCTTGACTACAACACTAGTTCTGTGCATTTTATGTCAAAGCGTGGTCACCAACCGGTGTGAAGACGGCCTTAGACACACGTTGAAACGTCTGAATGTTTTAAATCACCACTTTGAAGATTCAAAGGTAAAGGCTAATGCTAAAAATTAATTAGTTATTTCATGACGCGTGGCTAAACAAGCATATTCAGGAGCTGCGCCCTCAAACAAAAAGCAAATTATAAATGATTTATTTTATTGTAATTTCTGTTATGTTGGGTTCTCTTTTTGGTCAGATTCAATTATATAAAATCTGGAATTTTATTTCTTCAACTTGGCCAAAAATGACAGAAATTCAGACTTTATACAAGATAAAAACCTAAACAAAGACATTAGGTAATATATTGTCTCTTTGGGGTAAAACCCAGTGATCATTTTGATGTTTTTGCATAAAACAACTCGTCATATCTGTGTTTGTATGGACAACTATCCATTGAAAACTGTAAAAAAAGAGTTTGTGACCACATGGAAACGTGAATTTTTAATTTCTGTATGTATCATCCAACAGTCTCAGTACATAACTTTCTCTTGTCCCGCTCAAGATGATAAAATAAAACTTCATAAACATTAGGCCTGTCACAATAACAAATTTTGCTGGGCGATTATCTCAGAAATTATTTTGATTAACGATAATATTGTTTGAAATTTGACAATAATTTGTAATTATTTTTTTACCACTAGATGGCAGTACAAGACTGAACCGAAGGATGGATAGTGAGGGAGCGAGCAGCGTGTCTAAGAAAAATGGGAGGGAGGCCCCTTGACGTGACATGGGCTGTCTCTCATTCCTGTTTTTGGTTCTCAAAATGGCGGACGCTCGGTGTGGTTTGAGCCGTTTAGCATAGCATTTTTCACACAAAGCTTTTAATAAAAATTAAAAACAAAAATCAGAAAACAAGTTCTCAGCTTCTTTTTGCAGAGAAAATAACTTATTAGACAAAGGCACGAGTTTTAACCATGAATTTCGGAGCTTTGACAAGACCAAGGCTTTTTCCCCCGAGGTCGGCCTGCTAGCTTAGCTCGTAGCTTAGCTTCTCAGCTTAGCTGCTTTTAACGATCCAAAAACCTGATTTTGGATGGTTAAAACAGATTTTAAAGAGAAAAGAGAAAGGGAGGGGTCAGTGAAGAACACCGGAGTTGAGCCTTTTGTCATGTGTCTTTAATAAAAAGAGAGAGACGAAGAAACGATAACGCCGATAAATGAAAAGGAGGTCGATAATTTTCATTTATCATACGATTAATTGATTTATTGTTTATCGCAACAGCCTAATAAACACATGCATCATTACTGGACTGAGTGTCACATACACTTTTCACCACCCCATCTTCAAGGTCAAGGAGACAAACCATGGTCAACGTTAAAACATGGTCTTTGCTTGTCTGGGACATATCTTCTGATCCGCTCAAGATAATTTAACAAAACCTCATACACATTTGCACTAGCTCGTGTGTTATATAATCTTTTCATCATCTCAGCTCTAAAATCAAGGCCACAAATCAAGGTCAAAGTAAAAACAAGGTCCATGCCATTGCTATATAATGCTGTACAATAGTTAGACAGGTGTATAATACTGCTGTATTCTTGTAGATAGCAATGATGTACCTATGAATAGAGGCACAGTTAATGCAGCACAAATTTAAGTTATAGTTGGGAAAAGACCAAATTAAGAAGATTTCTTCTACTCTCAATCGGAGATGCAACAAACCTTTCAGCTGAAAATCTCATTTGCTTGTTGAACATGATTTTCAAACGTATGAGGGTCAAAGACAAAAGTGTTAGGGGTGTGTTTTGTTTGGTATTTTAATTTGTCCAAAAGACTTACTTTTCTATCACACAACCTTTTTATGACACTTTCGGTTGTCCAAATCAGGTCGGTCCTCCGACTCTTGAGCTTACGGGATATGGCGTCGACGATTCCCCTTGAACAATAGCTCGTTTTGCTACGACAACGTGTCAACAAAAACAACTGAACAGACATTGATTTCCCACCCTACAACAATGGCTCCTACTGTAGTTATTATACAGAAGCTTGAGCTTAGCCTCCTCCTTGTTCTGTAACCGTATCCCGGCGTCTCCTCTGTCCAGTCTCTTGGGTCGGGCTCGGCACCTGTTGACTCGCCAGTTAGAATGAGTCACTCACCACAGATTAGGCAGTACACACCGAGGCTGTGAGTGCGTTTCTGTCCTTGTGCCTCAGAAGACTTCCCCTGAGGGCATTCATGGACTCTGCGCCTGATGTGTATGCGGTTGTGCTTTCTGTGGACTGGGAGGCCTGACCACCCAAACTGAGCAGTGGGGACAGGACCCATAGGTGGTCCCAACAACAGACAGCACCAACTTGTCTGTCAGCACGCTAATGCAGACGAATCTAAAACATGAAAGGGGCGAAGGAAGGAAAAAAGACCAAACTGAGATCTGAAATGGAGATGTAAAAATTGGGTGAAAACCTACTCCTTCTGTGCGAAGGAGTGGAACGAGCAAGAGAGGAAAAGGAGCAAAGGTCAACCTCCTCATTAATCCAGATTAAATGAGAGCACCGTGGGCCACCCAAACAGACACAAATCGCCTTATTTTCTCCTTCCTTGTGATCTGTTACCTCCCCTGGCATGTTCAATTCCATCCTTCTCCTTTTCTGCACCACCTGTCTCTCCATCATCTCTGCAGCATCCATCTTTAATATCTGCTCATGCACTCACTCTAATGCCTCGTCCCTCCCTGCATCTCATTTCATCTCATCTCCAATCATCGAGGGAGAGGAATAATCAGACACATGACAGACGATAAATCTCAGAGAGGAGAAAACCCATCAGCATAACCATAACCGTACTTCAAGACTTAAAGGCATCCTGCCCAGATAAAGTCTTACGAAGTCACAGATAATAAACGCAATCTGAAGATTTAATCCATTTATTTTTGTTCCAATCTGGACGACAATAACCAGATTGGCGAGGCAGGCCCGAAATGGTGGGAGATGCTGGGACTAGAATAGAGTTTTGAAAGCCATGCACCAAAGATAGGTTGTGATTTTCAAAGCGTGACCACTCAGTGCACCAGCACGACTCACTGCGTAGAAACACTCACAATTCAACTGAACATTTGCCCATTTTTTTCCACAACTTTGACTCACCAAGACACTACTGTAAGAGTTAAAGGTGTTTTATACTCCACACAAAGCCATAGTCTATGTAACACTCTGGTTATGCATAAACATAAAGTTTAATTAAATTATCTTGAAGTTGTTGGCTGGAAAAGAAAAAGTTTAAAGATGTGTGGACAAAAACAATACCGTAGTATGCACATTTTCCAAAGAGCGTATAATAAAAAAAAAAAGTTGGACCAGGTTTAGTGTTGGGAAGAGGCGGGCGTAGCTACACAATGTTATTTACATCACGCAGCTATGTCAATCACAGGCGATTTCTTGGCTTACGATGGCGTATGAAACTTAAAGTTAACTAAACCATCTTTTTACAATTACTAACGAGCATGCGTAAAATTGGGCGCCACGCCCCCAAATAGGTTGCTAGCTATTTCCGGACAGCTTTAATCTTTATTGTTCAGGTCCTTTTCACCTCCTTTTTTGGATTT